GCACCGCCTAGTGGTTAAAGCACGTTATTGAATTATTTGTTATGTTATATTTGATGAAAACATTTAAATATTAAGAGTAGCCTACATACAAAATAGGGGGAAAGTAGAAGGTCAATGATAGAAATATAGAATAGAAAATATCAAGAAGATACTGTAGTGATCTCTACAATAAAACAGTTTAGTGCAGGTGTAACACGAGCACCAAAAGTTAATGCTGAGCACAGAATTATTTATACGAATCAGTTTCAATCAAACCTCTCTAGTGTGCAGAAATGTAAGTGTGTGGACCAGCACATCAGAAGTTTAGGTCGCTCAGGGGAAAATGGATACTGTGCAACAAAAGTGAAAAGACACAAAGCAGACTTTGTTCGGAAAAGTTAAAGAAAGCTAGAATATTTGAAGAGTTTGGTTCCAAAACGTGATAAACGCCGAAATCAGTATTGTATTTCGTCGGTATTGAAAAGTCAATATTGAAAAGTCAGTATTGAAAAGTCAGTATTGAATTTTGCGCAAAACGCGATAACTGCCGTGTTATTCCGTCCTGTTTTTCTCACTTTCTTTCCAAACAGCGACAAACGCCAGTCCACTAAAATCGAGCAGGATTAAGTCCTTTTACAGCTGATCACTGTCAAATAAGTTCAGCGGAGAAGTCCAAAGGTTGACAACAGTGATATGCAGAAGGATAGGGAGGTCTTGAATATCATTTGCTGACCGAAGATCATCCGACAAAGATTCCTGTCTGCAACGCCACCATTTGCAGCGTATTGGGTGAGCTTAATTTTGATTTAGGAATTATATTATTCATACAGGACTGCCCGCTCTTAAAATGTGTGGATCATTAAACGACGCTATGTTGATGTGATAGGCTAGACTACACAGGCTAGATAATGACAGCTTAATCCACAACAAGCACATCACTGGCTTTTCAATGCAGCCTGATGTGTAGCCTATATCATGAAGTGAACGAGGCACAGGTAAGCTTTTCTGTTTAATCTTTAATGTTTAAGTGTCTTGCTATTTTTTTTGAGCACAAATGCCCTAACCTAGTTGGGTCATCATTGTTATTTGATAAATAAGCCTACTGCAAGTTGAATTAATGTAGAAAAGTAGGCAGTAGCCTAAGTAGGTACTTACACACACAATACATAGGCTACATAAATAGGACTATATAGGCTAGGTTTGCATTTAAAATGTATGAATATCTGCCATTTAGTTGTCTGATGCACTGCTTAATCACAAATGCCCTTGTTGGCCATGTCATCTGTCATTGTGAATGGATACTGTGAATTAATAAATTAAGCAATGAATGAAGCAATGGATGAATTAATTAATGTAGATAGATAAATAAATATATAGATAAATACATACATACACACATACATACTACAAACACACCTACATACTGTACATACAAACAAAATGTCATTTTTCTGTCATTCCAGGTATTGACAAGGATCGTGTGTCTCGAGTGGCAAGGTATTATGCACTCAACGCTACAGCCAGACCAGACCTCAGAGGTGGTGCTAGTAAGGTGGCAGAAAATGATGCCAAGAAGCAGCACGTGATGGATCACATCAAAACGTTTACATGTAGGGCTAGCCATTATTGAAGAAGGGGAGCACCTGGCCGGAAATACCTATCCTGTGACCTCAGCGTGAAAAGAATGCACAAGCTATTCGACCAACAAAACCATGATGTAGTCAGCTAATCCCTGTATTACACGGTTTTTCAACAGCACTTCAACCTTGGATTCGGGCATCCTGCCACAGATGCCTGTTGTTCATGTGCCAGGTTTCAACTGAGAGTCAAGGACCCCAGCTTGACTGAAGAAGAGAAATGCAGTGAGTCTGCATCCTACACAGGAGACAAGCACGAGTGTTCTATGATTTACTGGGGCAGGTAGATCATGATACAGTGACCCTTTGCATTAACATGATGCAGAATTTGATACTCCCCAAAACCGCCATAGGTCAGGCATACTGTTCCAGACAGCTCTACATGTATCTCTTTGGTGTCTTTATTCACCATGGGACGGGAAGTAAGCAAGCAGTGGATACAACCCTGTCTCCTAAAAATTACGTTCCCACAGAACTAAACTGCATTCTCAAGTACGTTTAGCTAAACGTATTTTTTCCACATCGTTCGTTATGAACGTATCTCAAAATACTTTTATTTTCTTCATATCTTCTAGAAACATATTTTCCCCCACGTTACGTTTCTATGAACGTAGTCTTACCTTGTGTGGTGTTCGGTCATTTGACACCGATTTCCATTATTCAATGAATAAACAATCTTAAGGGTATTTTCGTTCACCTGAAACTCAATGTGCCGAGGGCTTATTTATGTGAAGACAGTGGAATTTTTTTTTTTTTTTTCACTTATGGAAAAATACCCATGGCATTTATGTCCTTCATAGAGGTTCGGCGTCAATATGACCACGGCTACACATCCCAGGGACGACAGACAGAGAAAACACACACCCACACACCACGCCACACACACAACACCACACCCACGCATTTGTATGGCTTGAGAAGCTGTTTGATCCTGGTTTTCACCTTGATCTTTACCCCATTTGTAGCTGTGTACACAAAACTTCCTAAATCTTATAACCTTTCAGAAATGTTTCAACATTTCTACATTTTCGCCTGTCCCCCTCGCACCTGCCCGCCGGTGGAAGGATCTAAACAGAGACCATAACCTCACTTCTACATGTGTATCGTGCAGACTGCATCTCTATAGGCAAATGACCAAAAGATATTCTGCTCAGAGAGCCTTGGAGCTAATAATGGTGAGGTGAGTGGAATGTCATTGAAGACCGGTGAAGTGGAACAGGAATGCATTTCGAAGATGAGGATAATGTGGGGTAAACTCACGATTGAGCAGCAATTAGAAGATGAACTTGGATCAGGGGGAGCCAGCTGCTGGAAAACCCCCCAGCCAGCGCCAGAAGACCCCCACAGTCAGCTTCTGGGAAGACCCCCACAGTCCAGACTTCTGGACCCTCAAAAGGACTCCAAGGGCATCAGCTGTAGCATTTATGCATCAGGCGGACATGGCTCTGAGTCATAATAGTCCTGCATCTTCTATGATCGACATCACAGATATACTGGGATTTGTATCTCTCCCATCCATTGTGTTTCTACGGTACCTCTTGTCTTCAGATTAGTGTACTATGCGTGTTCTCTCACCAGCTATCCACCCGTGTTCTTCTAATAGCATTCCACTTCCTCTCATTCCATTATTAGCTCCAAGGCTCTCTGTGTGAACTATTTTTGTGTTATGTCATTTTTTGACTGCTGCATTGATATGTTTTGCTCTGAGATCGTGCACTGCATATTGTTTTTACTTACTTGTAGAACTTGTGAGGTTGTATGTCTTTATAGTCNTTTTTGGTATTGTGCCTAGAAGAAGAATCAGAGGGATGAAACTCTCTTTAATGGTCACACATGCACAGAGGCCAAATGTCACTGTGTGTGCTGTGTGCTCTGCATGTGTGACCATTAAAGAGAGTTTCATCCCTCTGATTCTTCTTCTAGGCACAATACCAAAAACTGAAATAAAGCAGCTAAATGGAATTCAGACATAGGCCTATGTTTAAATCTTAGCATTAACACAGGTGTCTTTTATACTTGGATGTTTCTAGGAGTCTTTTTTGAAAAAGTCTAATTTAAAATAGCTTAAGCTACATCTCTTTGTGACATTAATTTTCTCTGTTCTGCTTCTTGTTATGCTAATATTAGTTAGCATTAGTAGGCTAACGGCTAACGTTTCACTTAAGCAACACCAGTTTCCTGAAATTTAAACAAAACTAACAGCATGTACATCGTTAATGTCATGAGCAACACCTGTGCTTTTCCTGGGGCACACGGCAATATATTTGCCATGATTAAGGAACGTTTTGGGCAGGACTTATTAATCACCACAACTAGAAACACCTGGTCCCAATGGCACTCAGGCAAATTGTATTTTTATTTGAGTGCACGGCCTGTCTACTGGAACAAAACTCACCACCTCCTTAAAATCAACTCAATTATACCTTTTGGACATTTCAGAAATACGATTATTTCAATCCACACAACCTCAATAGTATTTTAATTAATCAGTCAAACTACTTACCCTTACTGTAAAATGCTAGTGCTTTTGACATGCCTGTATTTCAACACAGTCTCACGGCATTTCGTGTTATAGTCACGAAATTAATCTATTGATTCGTGTTCACCAACAAGATTTTCGCATTTTTTTCGTGTCACACAGAACGATTTTAAAAGCAATGTATTTCTATTGGTAGTGTGTTTCGTGCCTGCACCACGTCTTTTTGTCCGGTCGGGTTTTGGAATACCAGAAGCTGTGTGGTTCATAAAAACATTTTCTTACTCAATATCTTACCCTAAGCCTAACCCTTTTATTTTAAATTTTATAATGTCGGAGTTTTCTTGCCGTCCGTGAGGAAAGGAAATGGCTCAGAGCCTCAGAATACTGAAATCTGTATTTTTTTAAATCTTTGTTTCCTTCTAATTTGTTATTATTTGGAGCAGGCACGAAACATAGACATTAACTAGAGACATTAACTAGATATACTGTATTTTTTTAAACCTCTTTTTCCTTCTAATTTGTTATTATTGCTTTTAAAATCGTTCTGTGTGACACGAAAACAAATGGGGAAATCGTGTTGGTGAACACGAATCAATAGATTAATTTCGTGAAATGCAGTGAGACTGGGTTGGCAGTTTAGTACAACTTGTTGTTGAGCTAAAGAGTGGTGAAGGAATGAGTCCTTAAACCTGGAAATGAGTTAGCATTTAACTACTCCCGTGTTCCCTGCTTCTATGTCAAAGATTTCTTAACATATTTGTGTCCAGTAAAACACAGATCTTATTTTGGGTATTTAACCACACTCGAGACACTAGAGATTTTTCAACCTTTATATATGACATTAAATGGTGGTGACGTGAAGTCATGTGACCCAGCTGTAGTTCCTTTAGTGTCGGCTGTGTTACCTGGAGACGTGTGCGTTGTGTCGGACCCGGGTGTGGCAGAGCAGGTTGGGCAGCCTCTGAGGAACCAGAACCCGGATCTGTTCCACGGAGCTGCACAGCTTCAGGATCCCCACGTACAGACCCGGCTTCGCCCCCTGAACACTGTGCCTGTGGAGGGAGAGCTTCTCCTGGAGAACAGGGAGGAAAGGTATGGCGTTGGGAATTCCAAAAGCTGTTAATAGGAGTAAGTGTTTGGCTGCTGTAAATTGAGTGTCTAATTTTGTATTTTATCTCTTTAGGGCTTTTTTTTAGGGGTTGTTTGAAAAGCAAAAGAGATTCAAACACGTCTCATTGATAATGTTAGGAAAGTCAATCAATGTAATAACCCTAAACTTCTAATCAAAGTTGCTGCAATTCATTCAACAAAACATATTGAAACCTCTTTTTCTCAAAAGAAAAAACTGGTTTACTTTTGAACTTGTGGATTTGAGAAAACCTAAAACGACACCCAGGTGACAATTGCAGGAAGTGATGATAACCCAAAATGATGTTTACAGTCTAAACCAGGGGTGTCAAACTCAAATACACAGTGGGCCAACATTTAAAAAATGGGTACTAGTGGAGGGCCGGACTGGTTCAATGTTTATTGCAAAACTTATTGAAATGAACTTATTGCACATATTAAACCTGGAACTAACAAAGCTTAAATGATTGCCTAAAAACAACATGAAACATTAAATAATCAGTTGCATTCATTTCTTATGGCTCTATCTGCAGCTTTTCCACAGTCATTTCTTATGATTACATTTTTCCACAGACCAACAACAGCTTCATTAAAACTATTTCCCTCAAAGAGAAACCAAACATGCCCTGTTGTCGTGAGAGACAAAGTGCAGAAGGAAACATCCATTAAAGTCAGTGTGCTGCTCTGTGATGCTAGTTCAGATACTTGGCATCTCATCTTGGGTGCAAGGTCATCAATGTTTGATCTCAGGCTCTGAGCTGAGGAGACCCTCAGGATGGAGTGAAGGTGTGCGTGCAATATACCGGCGGGCCAGATCTAATAGGAATTAGAAATTATCCTGCGGGCCGAAAATAAATCCACCAAGGGCCTGATTTGGCCCCCGGGCCTTGAGTTTGACACATGTGGTCTAAACGAATTACAAATAAAGAACACAAACTAAACAAGCTTACTTTGAGCTGTTCATAAAGCATGTCCATGGAGGTGGGCTCGGGCAGCAGAGGGGTTCTGCTGCGGTTCTTCTCCAGACGGGCCAACGGGATCCAGTGGAGCGGGGGGTCACGAAGGCTTTAAGCGGTGTGGAAAAGAGGGGGTGAAAAAATTAAATCACAAGGAACTACCAATAAAAAACTACAGGTCGAATAACTGTGCCTGTGCCTCACGTCAAATGTAATAGACGTTGCTTTCAAAAGACATTCGGACACTCATTACAGACACACATTTCTTTAAAAGCCTGTTGCCTTGACTCCTCTCTTTCGAGTCCCTTAAGCTTTGACATGCTCAG